CCATTCATCCATCCACCTGCCAGAGGTGAAAAATTAGAATGCCCATCATAGCACACAATGCTACCTGCATTCTGAAGTGAGACAGCTCAACAGGAAAGAGCGCTTGGGGCAGAGGAGCCCGCATCTCAGGGAGAACATGGCAGAGATTAAGGATTTTATACTCGCAATCAGGGCCAGCTTCCTGGCATGCTATCCTGCAGTTACTTAAATTTTTGTGCTGCTAACGTGGTCTTGAAATGTTCATTCTTTTTCAATAAAGGGCACTCGTTTTCCTTTTTTGTTGAACCCTGCAAATGATGTAGGCAAGCCCTGAGTGGGCGCTCGGGTCCTCCACTCGTCCACACTTCCCCATCGGAATATAATCCCCAAATATGAACTCATGCACAATACACCCGGTTCCATCCCAGAGTGTGAATAATGTTTCTGATATACAAAACCCACTCCACGGGTCCCCTTCCATGTACTTCTGCTTCTGTCTCTGCCATCTTAGTTTTAGTCTTCTTATATGATTCACAACTTCTTCAGTATTGACTTCTACTGTGTGGTTCTCTTGCCGCTATAGTTTGAATGTTTTGTTCCTGTAAAATCCTTAACTCCCAAGGTGATAGGCTGTGGGGGCTCTGAAGAGGGGGGCAGGCCCTGAGCACGGAAACGTGGGCTTCGTGCCCTTATAAGAGGCCCCACTGAGCTCCTTTGCTCCTTCCTCCACGCTACGACACAGGGAGCAGCTCTGTCTGAGGCAGAGCCCTCACCAGACACCAATCTGCCACACTTGGATCTCAAGCTTCCGGCCTCCAGAACTGTGAATAATCAGTGTGTCTTTTAAGATCCCGGTCTATAGTGTTCCGTTGTAGCAGCCTGAAAAGAACAAGACACTCACCTAATTCCAAGATCAAAATGTAACACCCAAACAGAGCCATGAAGCCACAACTTCCCTTCTCCTAAAATCTTTGGAAGCTGTTTTGCAGGTCACAGGAGCAGAATCCTAGGATCTGACCTAAAATGAGCTTGACAGTCTTGTGAAACAAAAACATCCAAGAACGGCCCCTGAGGGAGAACAGGGCTTTACAGACCTAAGGCGAAGCAGGGCGCTGTCAGCCATTGCGGGACCATCCGGAGCTATCCACAAGTTCCAACCTGAGCTGGGCAACTAGGCACAGCCTACCTCACGGCTCCCAGCGACGACCAGCCAGCCCTGGTTCCCTTTACGCTGCGCTGGCAGCTTTAATCCCTTTGCCACATCCGAGCGCGCTTCTTGCCTCCCGGAGTGCAGGCCTTCGGTAAGGCTATTTGCTGACAGCTGGTGCTGTGGTGTTGGCATCTACGGGCACTGTGCACGGAGACCTCGCTTGGTATGGATGTTGGGCCAACAGTGAGATGGGAGGACAGAACCCTCAGATGTCCACTAAGGGAGAGGGCCAAGCTTTTCCTGCTTCTACGCGAAGGTGCTGGCCACAGTTCCTTAGAGGGCTAATAAAACGAAGGAAGGGGTTAGGAATAGGCTGCTCTGCGTAGGAAGGAAACCTGGCAAACCAACGCTCAGAACCTTCTGAGTGTGAAATCACTGAAGAACAGAGGGCAGATGACCCATCTGGCCGTTTTCACGGCCCCCCCGGGACTCCCAGCCAAGGCGTGCCTGAGCTGTGCATCCTATCTGTGGAGGTACCGCAGGCGCCGCGGCTGCGAGCACAGGCGAGCTTGCAGAAGGTGACACCTTCCCAGACAGCAAAGCAGCCCTGATTCGTGATGTCACAGTGGAGCAAAGTGGCAGAGGAGCAGTGGAGCAATTCGGCAATGACAGCAATTCGGCAATGACAGCACTCAGACACCAGAAGGATGAGCTGGGCTGGGCTGGGAGAAGTTTCTCACAGCCACTGTGCAAAGGTTGAGTGTTCCAGGGGAGTTGAATTACACGGGCCTCCACCCTTCACCCTCCACCCCTGCAAAGAGGTCGAAGTCCAAACCCTCAGTGCCTGTGAATGGGACCTTATATGGAAATAAGGTCTGTACAGATTATCTGTCAAGAGGATGCGGGGTGGGGGGAGCGGGTTTCGATATAACTGGAGTCCTAATAAAAACGGCAAAGACAGACATGCACACATCCTACAGCCACAGGCCAAAAACTGCCAGGGGCGAGCAAAGAAACCTGGAACGGATCCTTCCCAAGAGGGAGCACGGCTCCTCTGATGGCCCCTCTGATGACATACGCATCTTGGCCCTCTGGCGTCCCTCTGTGGCACTTGGTTACGACCACCCTGGCAGACTAAAATGGTGAGCAAAGGACAAGTCCGAACACCTTGGCCGCTCATGGGAACAGCCACCACCAGAGCGTTTTCCTCTCGTGAGAATTCACAGAGAAGTGGCCGGGCACAAGGGTTTTCTGTGACCCAGGTGGGGGCGCTTTGCCTTCATTCTGTTGTCCATGCCATCACAGAAGGCACGGGAGGTAACCTTTCCAAAACAAAGTCTTTGTTATTGAAACAAAGCGCGGTAAAAGTAACCCCTGTTCAGCACTGAGGTGAGATGGGGGAATTCAGGGAAGAAGCAGGGAACAGGCAAAGCGGGAAAGGGGCACGTCCACTTGCCATTTGCTTTCATAGGTGCTTGGAGCACTGGACGCGGCTTTGTGAGTACGTGGCAACTGTTACTTGCAAAGATGGGGGTGTTGGGAGCTGAAAGGACCCAAAGGAAACCAAAGGAAAGGGAGGCTCAAAGCGTGGCCCCCGGACCCGCGGCATCAGCCTCTCCTAGGAGCCCCTTACAACGCAAATTCTCAGCCGCCCGCCCCGGGCCTACAGCATCAGGAACTCCGGGCCCAGGCACAGCCATCTGTGTTAAAAGGACTTCCGGGGATTCTGGTGTACAGGGAAGTTTGAGAAGCACCTTGCCAGGGAAATCAAAAAAGGGAGAGGAGGGGAAAGGCAGCATGATTCTAAGTGATGCTAAGACAAAACTTGGCCAGAACAATGTCAAATCGTACTTTAAAAATCCAGCTGAAATTCAGACGTAAAATGACTACAAGTTGCGTTTTAACTTGCAATCACTTCACATTTGCAGATCTGCCCACTCAGAGCCAAGGCCACTTGCCTTTCTGGGTGCTTCGGGTCGGCAGTGGCAGTGCCACTCTGTCCGTACATGACCCACATCCACGGTGCTTTATCCGCAACCCCAGCTCATGTTTTAACAGAAACTTTAAGAAACTGCAAAGCAGTAAACAAAGAATTACTCTGGACTTGTAAAACATTTTCCCAGCCCCTTCATTATTCCTTACTATGTGCAGACTTGGCTTCTACATTTATATTGCAACATTTTAGATCAGGAAGCGCAGGTGCTTTTCATAGTCTTTATTTTTGTGAAGTGGGACTTGTACACTAAGTAAATCAAATGTCACCCTGTCACGTTTCTATGTTTTAATGGATCTCCTCTAGTGATTTTAAATACATTAGTATGCTTAATGAGCCCCCACTGTACTTCGTGATACTTACAACTGCCCCAAAACAAAGATTTGCACTTGCTGTTGGCCTTCTAAAAAGATTTTCCTTGGGGCAGTAGGGTCAGGGGACGGTAGCCCGCGAAGCCTGTCTCAGCACTCTATGTAGGCCCCAGCATCTCACTTTACTGGCCACCGACCACGTGGCAATGGCTGGTAAGTTACTAAGATTTTCTCACCTGCCAGCTCTGTCCGAAGCGCTCCTGGGCATGTCCCACAGTAATTACACAACTCTGGAGTCTCTTCGAGGAGTCTCCCTTTATGGCTCTGAAAGCCGAGGCCTACAGACACTGAGATCACACAGCAAGTAAAGGGCACAGCAGAAACCCTAAACAAGCCATGTGCCTTCAACAGCTTTCCTCACTTCTACCCGTCGCACTCCCTCCCTCCATTTCTTTGTTTGCAGTGCTCAGGATTGAATGCAGGGCCTTGTACATGCTAGGCAAGCATTCTCCCACCGAGCTATACCGCAGGCCAGGACCTGTCTTCAAAATCATGCCTTCTGACAGCCACTGCAAAGGGCAAATGGGGGCAATAACTAAGGAGCAATAACTCTGGTAGAGGATGAGCCAATTACTCAGTAAAAACGATAGTAATGATAAATACTCAAAAATAGCTATGTGGCTGGGTGCAGTGGCTGAGCTACATGGGGGGCTGAGGCAGGAGGATCCCAAGTTCAGTCAGCTTGGTAACTTAAAACCATCTCAAAAAAGGGGGGGCCGGGAATGTAGCTCAGTGGCAGAGTACCCTAGATTGGTTTTCCAATATTAGGAAGAAACAGCCCCTACCAGGATTACCACAATGTATTCTTTAAAGTGGAATTGTAGGCACACTTCTATGTCATTTATAGACTGCCCTCCGAAACACTGCAAGTAGGGAACATACCTTTCGCAAGTTTGTATTCCCAGTATGATGCTGAGTGGACACAAACATTTCATGAATGTTAATTTGTGAGTCCACAGAAATACTAAATGTCAACGTGCAATCCCAGTTGGAACCTCCCTTCATCCACCAACAGCCTGATGTACAGTAAGATGTTCTGATTCTGAACAGTGCTAGTTCCACAGACAAAAGACTGAAGTTTAAAACCCCAGAGATGATCCAAAATGATTCAAGTTACACATGGGAACTCCTATCAGAGCAGAGAAGTCCTGACCGCTGAGCAGGATCGGACACAAAGCAGCTGAGGACCCAGTAGGTTACCGAGCTGCAAGTGATGAGGGGTGCATACAACTGCTGACCCTGTCATCGAGTTTGCCAGACACTTTTTCGACAATGTCTGTCTCAAAAAATACCACAGCCCTGTAACTGGGGTGAATCCTTATGTGTAGCTTTACCCTCCGTTTCCAGTTACAATGTTGTTTCTCATAAAGTCTTATCCTATACTCAATCAATAGCATTTAGAACCAGAAAAAGCCCACAGTATAGCTTAAAAATATACCTCAAAGTGGGGAGATGCTACAGATGACAGTCTGAAGATACAATTACTCAGAAAGTTACTTGGGAAAGATTTTCAAAACCTGTTAACTATCAGCTTTATTTAAAAATGTATAAATATTCTGACAGGCACAACTTAAGATTGTTTGATGTTTGAAATTCCATGCAGAACTGACACAACAGAGAAATCCAGACCAAGTTAATCATTCAGACTGCCCACTCCATCCACTAATTTAATACTACAGTGTTCAGGATAAATTAAAGATTAATATTATCAATACTGAAGAAAACCAGTCATTTGTACCATGCTGCCATAATTAGAACAACCAGTCCACGGGCTACTGAAACAAAGAATTCGAACAGCAAATTTAGAGCTTCCCTCAAACAAAACCAAAATTTAGACACGGAACTGATGTAAATACATCTGAGAACAAAATACTCTTCTTATGAATTTTAACCCACAACCAAATACACTCATGCTTTACAGAGGATCAGCATTGGCACTGTGGCTTCAGCCAGGCTCCCAGGGTTTGGATTCGGCTGACTGCAAAGGAAGCTCCCAGGCCGGGGAGGAATGGATCTCAAAGTTGGGATGACTTGTCAAACGCTAGGGACAATGAGGACACCTGCTTTCTGGGGAGCAGACTTATATATTAGGATTACAGGAATTAAAAGGAAAAGCTTAAAAGTTAAAATATGTGTTAAAAATATATGCATTACCACTTTATGGTGAGTTGAAATTTCTGTAACAAGGTCCAGTCAGAAAAATTGACATAAGTGAAAATTTGGAGACCTACGACATGCGTATTCTTGCTGAATGCACTTCCAGTGTACACTTTTGCATTCTGTTCAGGAGTACTACTAAATTGTAGGGACTTTAGAAATGCTTGTCATTTTTAAAAAAGCGTAACTGTCTTATTTCTAAATTTTAGTTAAAATATTTGACCAGGAAGAAGTTCATGAACATTGTACTGACTTCCAGGTTTTATAGCTCATTCCTGAGAAAACAAGACAACTTTCAACACTTTTCAAAAGCTCTTGTATAGAGGTTAAGACTTTTTTAGATGAACTACACAGGCAATAGTGAATATAAAGGGAAATCCGAAGGACTGCTTCTCACTTAGATGAAGAGGGAGGAAAACTTAAAATGGTCTGCTACAAACTGCAAGGCAGATATGACTCAAAGGTTAATGGCGCAAGGTATCCTTCACTAAGTAAATGATGAAGTGTGACTGCCCACTTGAAGATCTTACATCACGAGTGAGATTCAGATTAGGGGAAATAGTTTAATGTACCTCTCAGAAAAAAAATAGTTTATCTTTTTCCATCACAAACAAACAGTGGTTATGAAGTCCAGCGCCACCAAGCAACCTTCATTCTGTCCCATACAGCTGAAAGCGAATCCAAGGCAGGACGCACATCCAGGATGGTGAACTGATAGTCCTTGTTCACTTCGCCGCCATCATAGTAATCGATCACGTATCTAACTTCTGTGCCACAGCGGTTGACGATCCAATCGTGCCTGTCGAAAGGCAACTCGTACCTAGAAGAGAATGCTGGTGGGTGCTAAAGGCCGCTTGTGCACGGGGACCTGGTTTAAGCAGCAGGAAAGACAGAACCAGCACCTGCCTGCTGCCCATATTGAACAGCTACCCAGGAAGGTCAGACCTAGACAGTCACAGTCTACAGTGCAAAGGGGACACGGCACTAAAGAACTGTGGCAAGCCCAGATCAGGTGATAGCTCATCTGTCTACAAAGGAATAAGGGCCATGGGAAGGAGACCCCCGGAAAGAAGGTCAGCTGAGCCTGCAGCAGTGCGAGCACGTGCTAAGAATCTGAGCTGCACTGCGGGCGGGGGGCGCTAAGTGGATGGACCCAAAGATGACAAGAGGAGTAAGAGGAAGGGTCCAGGAATACAGAACTCAGTTCGGTTCTTCAGTAGTACACTAACTGCTATATCCCAATAATCTGCCAAATCAATGAGCAAACTTTAAAGAGAAGAAATCTGCAGCTGAATACTGAGTGTTAGAAGACAGAACAGTAGTTCTTAGGGTCTCTGGTTTTGGTACCAAGAGAAAGCTGGCTCTGCTCTGAGGAATGTAACATTTCTGCAGATACTTACCCCATCCAGGACCGAATTCTTGCCCTTGGTGAAAACTGTTTTGCCTTCCCTCCGAAACGGATCAATGATGGACCACAAGGACACTCCCTAGAAACCCCCAAATAAGTCTATTAAACATTTTCTTTCCTGTGAAAAAGATGATCTTCCAGTTTTTCAGTAATATGTTTTTCAGCATGTGTTTTAGACAACACCACATTTATAGAGAATGGTAAGGGCTAAGACAATTCAAGACACTGTCCCTATTTGTTGCAAACATTCCTCTTTGTTCTGGATTGAGCGTATTTCAACCTTCCCCCTTTCCTCCAGACATGTGCACCGTGCCTCCACGACCGCCAGGAGCTACGGCCTTTCTACATGGAGCAGGGGGATAGGTGCATTCTCAGAAAGCACTTTCCTTTTTCACTGGTCAGCTGGGATTTCTGTCAAGCAAACATAAGAAAGTCCCACATAGTCAGCCCTTTGTATTTGTGGGCTCCACACATGTAGATTCAAACAACTGCAGACTGAACATATTTGGGGAAAAAAACTGCACCTGTACTACACATATACAGGCTCTTACGCTGCATAGATATTGTAAACAATGTAGAAATGATTTAAAGCATGCAGGAGGACTACAGAGGTTACAAGTAAATGATAAACCATTTTAGATAAGGAACTGGAGCATCTGTAGATTTTGGTATCTTTGAGAGTCTTGGACGAATCCTTCACAGACAAGTGTGGGACGACTGCACTTTTATCTCACTTGAAGCCAATTAACAGTCTTTAAAAACAAAGAAAAATGATGACGGATGCCTAAGACCTAGTTGTAATCAGTGTTACACCCACTCCTTTGGTAAAGACCTACACATATAAGCTGGGGGGTGGCAGAATCCACTTACGCTGCCCACAGACCCTGGCTAAGGGCTCCACAAGGGGTCAATCCTCCGCGGGCCCTGAGGTACTGAGCCTTGTAAAAGGCACAGTCTAGCCACATGACAGTCACGGAGCTGCTTCCCCAGTGGAGCAGGGAGGCAGTCCAGACATAAGACCACCTATCTTGTTACCTGCCTCCTTGAAAAGACAGAGTCAGGTCCCCACGACTCTGTAAGTTTGAGAGAGAAGAATCCAAAGCAGCAAAACAGAGTTTTATTTACGGACTATGTGAGCTACTGACTTCTCCAGTCAGAACCGGCTCCCTATCTCTTCTCAAGAGGATATCACAGGCAAAGAAATAAACCCATCTAGGCAAACTTTCTAGAGACCTCTGCACAACTTTTGCAACATGTTCGCACCAGCCTGAACCACAGGTGATACATGCGTGACTGTACCATGCAGCTCATACCACTCAATCGGACTGTCCCATGGTACCCGATGGGACAGTTATGCATGTACCACTAGTGGTTGAGAGCCGCCCAGCAGCAAAACACAGGAATTACGGGCCGGTCATGAGGTATTAAGGGCCTATCTAATTCGGCCTGAACTCTGGAAGGTGACTTGGGAGGAAGCTGAAACGAACAAACTGCAATGTCCCTTTGCTCCTGCCCCATAATCACACTTTAAGTAACCAACAGGTGGTTTTAATTAGAGCACATTTTTAACCTCGGTCACTGCACACAATGTGTGGTAACCCTGAAGGGCACCCCTGCAGGCCACGGGTCACTGATGGAAACATGGTTACAATGTGAGTCCCACTTTCTGCGCACTGACCCCAGGCCTGGGGCCTGGTCAGTGACAGCCGAAGTGCTACTAATGAACCACATTAAATATTAAAAACAAACAACGTGAACACCTTAAAAAATCAGTCACTGGGTTTTAGTCAAGAAGCGAATGAGTCCCATTCTGTAAGGAATCTGCCATCTGAAGAAGCGATTATGACAGGCGGTGGTTCTCTGCGCAGACGCGGTCCGCTCCTACACCTCTGAAAGCAGAGTCCTGGAACCAGCAGCAGCAGAATCAGGTGCTCTAGGAATGCCAAGACTGGGCCCAGCCCACACAGACTCAGACACCTCGAGGCTGGAGGCCAGCATCAGGGTCGGAACAAACCTAGGTGGAACCTCACCTCTGCCAGCACATATCTGTCTACATTTCCCGCCTTTCCATGAAAAAAGGGCCCCTTGTTAAGGCACCTCCTTGAGATTAGTCCTACTGGGGACTCAATAAATCTGCTGAAGAAATAAAGCTATGCTTCCCATTTCCCTCAGGGCAGACAGCACTTTAGTTCAGTAGCTGTCTTCCCATGTACTCTGCTTCTAACGGACAAAGGTATGACTTCCTGCGTGAATCGGGGCAGGACAACGGCACTGTGGGCCTTCCAAGGGTAGGCAAGAAAAGGCGTCACAGCTTCCTCCCGGTGCTGTCTGCGACTCTAGCTCCTGGAACCCAGCCGCCGTGACATGTGGAAGTCAAAGCAGTGACATGTAGACACCAGGAGCAGGTGTTCTGGCAGGTGGCCAGCACCATTTGCTGGACCAGCACAAGCTGAGCCTTCAGATGCCTCTCTAGCCTAGAGCTCTGAGCCATCCTTGACCACTGATGAGGCAGCTGAGGCCCCGGATGTCAGGGAGCATCTCTGCTCTGTCCTTTCCACGTTCTGGACCCACCGAGTGCACAGCTGAATAAAATAATTCTATTTTTTTAACCTAAGAAGTCGCAATCTGTCCCATAATAATTGTCACTGCAGCATGCTTGCTACACAAATGTTTTATTTGAATAACAAATTAATTAAATAAAATGTTAAATGTTAAAACCCTAGAAAGCTGGAACGAAATAAGAAAGATGTTGCAATGTTTTTTAAGATCTCAAACATACTTACGCAGCATGAAGGGCTTCCCACTTCAAAATCTCCTTCCAGGCCTGCTCATTATTCTCATTGTGAATCTTAATGATATTATACATGTCTTTCTGACTGATATCCTCATCCTTCCACTTCCACCTACAAAAGGACATTTGGTAAAATTTGACGAATTCTACTGACAATGTTAAGAAGTTAATCCACATATTCATATAATGACTTATTAAACATTACTCTTTATAAAAGAACTAAGAATGCTCATTTTCTCAGAATTTAATGGGTCTAAGACTAATTTTCCAGGCTTTCTCAAGACTGGAGCAGTGGTATAAATCCAACATTACTATACCTAAGTACACTGGAATCAAAGATTAAAGTTTCACCTTATCTCATTTCACAGTCTCCAAAAGCCAAACTTAAGAGAACCAGCCGTTTTTAAAGTGACACTTTTTCAGTTGGGATTGCTGATTAATAAGTCACCAACTTTTCCTAGGCATTTTGTATAGTAGTGGGGTTTTTTGTCTTTTTGAGACAGGGTCTCGCTATGCAGTGCAGACTGGCCTTGAGCTCACTTTGTAGTTCAGGCTGGTATTGAACTCACAACAGTCCTCCTGCCTCAGCCTCCTGAGTGCTGGGATTACAGGCGTGTGCCTGTAAAAAGTAGTATTTTACTTTAAAAAACTATTACTCACTATGATGAACAATTTTACACATCAACCTGATGGGGTCATGCAGTGCCCAGACATATGGTGAAACATTATTCTAGGACAGTGGTGGCAAACCTATGGCACACACGCCGCAGTGGGCTGTATCACTGAAAGCTCTAAAAGGTTCGCCATCACTGTTCTAGAATGTCAGTGAGGGTAATGTGAGTGAGATTAGCATGGGACCAGCAGACTGAGTAAAACACATTGCCCTACTCAGTTGGGTGAGCCACATCCACTCAGTCACAAGCCTACATGTAACGAAAGTAGGATGGAACTCCTCCTGCCTGACTGCTAGAGCTGGGACATGAGTCTTCTCCTGTGTTTGGATTTGTGTGACAATGCTAGCTCCTCCTGAGTTTTGAACCTGCCAGTTTCTAGACTGGAACTGACACTATTAACTCTCCCAGTCCTTGGGGCTTTGAATCTGGACAAGTATTGGTTCTCTAGCTTGCTGGCTAGAGGTCTTCAGACTTCTATAATCAGTTCTTTATAATAACTCTCTCCCTGCGCTCCCTATCTTACACATATACACATTCTGTTCATTGTGTTTTTCTGAACACTGACCTTGTACTTACGTTTTGATGGGTCTGATCATTGCATGGATTATTATAAAATGATTACCCATAAAAAAACTTATGGTACAATTTGGGGGTAAAAACCACTTTTAACATTTAACTCTCACACAAATTTGATGAGCAAATTATGTTCTAAATAATAGGATCACTCACCCTTTCCTTAACATCGCATTCCAGAACATCTGCTCAGAAGGATAAACCCACTTTTTCTCAGAATCTGCTCTTGGAATGGATGATTCTTCTCTGGCCGTAGACAACGCAAATGGCTGATCTGGGGCTGGTGTTTGATTAGGTGGTGGCATCTGAAGAAGACAAGTACTCTGTTTTTTAAATGTTATAAATATGGACAAAGTAAAAACAGGTAATATGATTACTGTAAGTACTTAGCAGAAAGCAACCCATTTTGTGCGAAGTCCAGAACCCCCATTCAATGGGTGACATCAAAATTTCAAACCTCTCTGATATTTGGTTTTGAAGAGTCAGAATACTTAAGTTGTTTTTCCTAAATTCTTAAAAATGATAAATAAACTTTGTGGTTTGACTTTTGATCTCTTTCCTTTGACAAACTTAGAAGCAACATCACCAAGGAAAAAAACGTTTTTTGGTTTTTGTTTTTTTTTGAGACAGGGTTTCACTATGTAGTTCAGTTTGGTCTTGAACTCACTTATGTAGCCCAGGCTGGTCTCAAACTCATGGTGATCCTCCTGTCTCAGCCTCCTGACTGCTGGGATTGCAGGCGTGTGCCACCACTTCCCGCAGGCATTTCTAAAGACGTTTTCATAACAGGATTTTCAAAAACTATTCACTCTTCACTCTTTTGAGGTAGTCTCACAGACAATGTGTACAATGCTATTTTCTTTTTAAACATTCTTTACTTTTATGATCCCGATGATGTTTTCCCCCTTTCAGCTGAGCATAGAATACATGGGCATTTTTATTTCCCCACTGCCAGAGCAGAGATAGGAAAAATCCCTTCTCCCACGCAGGGGTGAGCAATGCTATTACATCAACATCTAACCTAGGCAGGGTCTCTCATCCTCAGCAGTGCTGTCTTTTAAGGCTGGACAGCTTTTAGCTGTGGAAGCTTATTTTGAACACTGTAGGTCATTTAGTACTATCCCTGGCCTCCACCCACTAGTACCACTCCTCCCTGGCTGTGACAACCAAAACTGTCTGTAGACATAGCCAACTGTCCCCTGGGGAACAAAATCACCCCAGGTTGAGAACCACTGGCCTAGAACTTCTTTTCCTATCAGCAGTACGAGGGATTTTCTACCAGTTCCACATTAATAATGCAAAAGCGTAGCCACTACAAGGCCCCGCATTGGAATAATGACAGGAGAGCCCAGTGTGGTAAGCACTACCAGGATTATCACCACCGTGTTTAAGGACACAGGGCTGAGGTGCGTGTGAGTCAGTTTTGGCTCTGCCAATACCTAGCTGAGTGATGTGCAGGCAACTGCTCACTCTCTCACTCTCAGTATCTTCAGCTGTAAAGCGAGGGCACTAACAATATTACACAAAGCTGTCATGGGGCTGACAAAGAAAATGTGTGGTGCTTGGTTTAAACACTACAGAAAATTCCTAAAGAAAAGTCAGCTGCTGTTCATATTCTCATGACATAAAACCATCCCTTGGGGTAAGAGTCTGGCTCTGTCAGATTCTAAAAGCTCCATGTTCTAAACCACTAAGCCATCAGGGATAATCTAGACGAGCGGTCTGCTGGGGGCACTCCAGGCAATGCCTAGAGACATCTCTGGCCACCACATTTTGCCTGATGTCCTCCTGGAATCCAGTGGGCAGAGGCCAGGGATGCAGCCACACAGCATACAGTACATAGTACACAGGTTGTCTCTGGAGACTGTGAAAACATTTCTGTTTAAAATGTTCCAAAAAGAAGAGATGAGCATAGATTACCAGATTTGAAGGATCCAGGTTCTCCTTACTGGCCCTGGTACCAGTAATGGGGCACTCCACATATTCATACGCTCGATCTTGGTGGGCAGGCACAGAGTAAGTTTTGCTGTCACTAGTTGGACCAGATGGTTCCCCACTTACTGGACAGCCTGAAATAATCAAGATTAAAATGGTGTTACCAAGAAGGCGTGACATCCGCCTCTCTTGATTAGGGCCCTCAAAAGGTGAAGTTCTGACTAAAATAGGAAAAACTGGGTTTCTTCTATTTAAAGCTGGCAAAAACTAAGCTAGCTAATATTCAAAAATGCTAAAGATGAGAGGGCTCTGTAAACTTACTTTCCCATTCCCTGTATCGTATTTCCAGCAGAAATACACCAAAAAATCTCAGCAGATGCAAGCGTATGCACGGCGGTGCCATAGTGTCTGAAACAGGCTAGAAGGCTGCTGCTTGGGCCAGCAGATGCCATCTGTGGGAGAAACTTAGGGAGGGGCTGGGCCACATTCACCGTGTCTCCTTGACTTCCACTCCTTATTTCCAGACAAGCTCAGGCCCAGTGAGGAGGCAGCTGCAGTCCAAGCAGCCTTTTCTGATGCACTCTCTTAGACATTGGCGACAGAAGAAAATGAGCAGAGGAGACTTCAGAGAGGCTACTGGAGAAAAACCTCAGCACCACTCTACTTGTGTTTTACTCCAAGACTAAAACAAGGCATAGGAAAGGTCCACTTGGCCAAGGCACTGTTCTTTATTGGCAGACAGCAAGAGTTTAGCAAGAAAAGGCTGATATTAAAGACAATGACCCCTAACCCAAGTAGGACTCAGATACTTCTTAAGGGAGAAGACTGGAGTTTAATGAGTGGAATGCCAGAAAGGGGAATCAGTGCCCAAGGATCCAGGCTGCTGACCCAGGCAAGCATGGAGACTAAGAAGCTAGTCTTAAAGTTGGGAGAGAGGAGAGTCACCTGCAGAACTGTGGCCCAGCACAGCAGCTGCTGTATAATGGAATCTCTGTCGTCTTAGTTACTTTTTTCATTGCTCAGACAAAATACCCGACACCCAGTTAAAGGAGCAAAGGTTTATTGCAGCTCACAGTTTGTACAGGTTTCAGTTCATAGTTGGCTGGCTCCAAGACAGGGTGGCATGGCAGAGGAGCATTGCAGAGGAGAAACAGTTCATGGCAGGCAGAAGGCAGGAAGGCAGGAAGGCAGGAAGGCAGCAAAGCAGCAAAGTATTGAGGAAGCAGCAACAGCCAGCCTGCCTTCTTTCTATCCCTTTCTATCCACCCAACCTATACACCCTTAGAGCAGGCAGCACTCACTCAGGGTGGGCCTTTCCATTATCCACAGCCTGAATATGCTAAACTGATCAGTGGACTAATTCAGTAATTGAATACCCTTAATCTCTGCATCATACACTTAATCACAGCATCACAAACCTTAAATCTAGCTACCTCTTGGGCTGGGGATTTAGCTCGGCGGCAAAGTGCCTGCCTGGCAAGCGCAAGGTCATGAGTTTCATTCCTGGTATCGGAAGAAAAGACAAAAAAAAAAATGTAGCTACCTCTGAAAAGCCCCATCTATGACTACATAAGGCTTTGGAGGGACATCTATACAAGCCACAACACCTGTCTTAGGTTGCAACAGGAACTATGGAATATACTGAAGATTGGATGCCAGATATAGAAAAGATGAATTTCCTTTCTTTTCTTTCCTTAGTCTCTCTTTCCAGGTCCTTACTCTCAGGCACCCCACTTTATAAGTAAAAATAGGCAAGCTATACCTTCCCTCCCTACCATTCAAAACATCAATTCTTTCTGAGATACTGATCCCAACTGGGCGTTAGAATATGACTGTTACACTGTTCCCATTATATAAGCAATAGCCCCTTTGATCTACAAATACCTTCATTCTTTAGTAATGTCAATAATTTACAATAACAACTCTCTACAACAGATAGAAAATTAAATAAAAACAAGAGAAGATTCTCTGAATTCTTTGGGGACAGACACTCAACACAGAAGCACACCTGCTTTGTCTGATCTGTCTCAATTCCTGGAAGAAACGCCAGAGTAGTACTGCATCTGCTCTTGTTCAACGTCACAGAATTGTCACTGGCTCTGTCATTTAATAGTTGTGTGACTTGGAGCATATCAGTCAGTAACTCTGACCTTTAGTTTCATTGACTATAAAAGGGAAAATCTGCCACACGGGATTAAGATGAGAATATGAGCCCCATTAAGTAAAGGGTTTCTGTCTGTCCTATTCAATGCTACTCTCTTAGCGCAGAAACAAAGGAAACCCAGCAGTGGGTGGCACAGAATGGGCAGTGACCTGGCTGGCTGGGGGAATAAATGACTATACCACAAGCAACAACACTGAGTAAGCACACGTCACCTTTGCCCCTCATTTCTTACAGATTCAAGCCAAACAATTATGAACAATGCACAATAGACTTGCACCAATTAAAGGCAAAAGATACCCTTTTCATTTTCACCCTTGCACTGCAAGAATGGACCACAAGTCTACCTGGCAAAATTTTTTTTTTGGTCTTTTTGAGACAGGGTCTCACTATTCAGTTCAGGCCAGCCTTGGGCTCACTCTGTAGCCCAGGCTGGTCTCAAACTCGCAATGATCCTCCTGCCCCAGCCTGATCCTCCTGCTTCAGCCTCCTGAGTGCTGGGATTACAGGCATGCACCACCACACCTGGCTCAATAGCTTATTTTTCATTTGTTTTTGTTTTGTTTTATCTTTTTGAGACAGGGTCTCGCTGTGTATTCAGGCTGGCTATGAGCTCACTTTGTAGCCCAGGCTGGTCTCGAACTCGAAACGATCCTCCTCCTGCCTCAGCCTCCCAAGTGCTGGGATTACAGGTATGTGCCACCCCGCCCGGCTAGCTTATTTTTTAGATAGAAGAGTACTGTAACTTGTATGGGAGTAAAGTCTATTTACTAAAATAGCTAGATTTAGGCCAAGGTTTCTCAACTCTGGCATTCTTGATAATTGAGGCCAGATGATTTTCGTCAGGTGACAGTCCTGTGCATTTTAGAATGTTTAGTGGCACCCCTGGTCCCCACCCACTAGAAGCTTGGAGTGCCTTTCCTCTCTGTTGTGACAACTGAAAGTCTCCCAATATAGGCATATAGCTCCTGGCCATGGAGACTTCCTCCCACTTCTAGTTGAAAACTACTGATACAGTCACACAGATAAATTTCAGAGAGGCAGGGCTGATTTATGGAGCAACTATTATACTCGCCACCATCACAACCATCATAACTGTGAAATACTAACATCATACTGCCCTCTCATCTTACAGATAACAGACTGTGACTTATGGAAGTAACTTGTGTAAATCACACAGCTCCAAAGTGCTAAAATCAGGACTGGCCTCAGAGTGCCCCTCTGCCAGGCCTATGAGCCTCACCTATACTCCCTTCCTTTAGGACCTCCTGAGAATTTTCTTTTGTTTTAATTGTCTCAACAAAGGGTCAATTACCTTGACTTTTCCTTTCATGCATTGGGCATCCTGAAGGTGGTGATGCTGTCTGATTATCTGAAGCACTTGAGGTCTGAACTGAAACAGTGGGAGTAGATGCTGACAAGCCCATGGCTGGAACCAAAGTGTTGACTCCAAACAATTTTAAATGTCCAGCTGCCAAAGTAAAGAGACAAATTAATACCGATGCCGAGAATCGGAGTAGCCCCTTGTTACTCTTAACCTGGCGAACTCTTTTCTTCCTTTTTGTCATCCTTTGGGAACCTGCCAGGGCAGGATACTCACTTTAAGACATCGCTTTGAATACACTGACCCCTTTTGGGAACTTCTTTGAAATCTACGACGCCCTCCCGGGGCATGTTTCTAAGAGAGTGGGAATTTGGCGGGTGATGCGGGGAGGTTTCTGGAATCCACGTTACAGTGTGGGGGCCTGGGGGAGTGGGGTGCTGGCGCCGTGGGGGAGGGGAGGCATACTATCCAATACTCGACCTTCAGTCCCGGGGCTTTAGCCCGCAGAGTGGCACAAGAACGGGACTTCCGAGGAGGGCAGGGAGGAAAGGACAGCAGCAGGCGGGGGGCGCCGCCAGGCCTCCCCGCACCAAGCCCGCTCGCCCCACCTGCTCCAGCCCGCGGTCCTCAAACCCCACCGGTCACTGCCAACATCCCCGTGGGCACCTGAGTCCTCCCCAGGGCTGTCCCAAGCCGCCTGGACCGCCTCTAACCGCCAGCCCGAGTCCAAAAGGCAACGACCGGCCGCCGCCTGCCGCTGCCTTCCTCACTGGGTCACCGCTATCGCCGCGGTCACGGACGGCGCTCTAGCGCTCCTCTCCTTCCTTTACCCAAGGCGGGACTTCCGGGCTCGTGGAGGCGGGCCTCCGACCTAAGGGAAGGGGCTTCCGTCACTCAAGGCCAACAAGTCCCGCCCCCTCCGCGTCTTGACCTATCATCGTGTGGGCCCCTCTGTAGCCCCGCCTCTCATCGTCGGGCGCCTTTTTTCGACTCACCAGGCCTGTCAGACAGAATTCCGTGGGCTCCAGAGGTTTCCCTAGAAAGATCTCTACTATACATACTTTCAGCGGCCGACGGGGTGCTTCGGGAGAATTTTTAAATTGCTGCTTTTTAAAAATGTCATCAGGTATTTTAATTTTGCATTTTTATTTTTTAATTGGCACATATTATATCTATTTATAAGGTACAGTATTATAATTCAATACATGTAGGCTATATGTAATGATAAATCAAGTCCTAGCAATGATTCCAGCAACATCAATAGGTGTCCAGCGCCGTGGCTTGCTCTAGAGATGTAAAAATAAACAAGACAGGATTCTGCCTCCAAGGCCGCCTTAACTGGGTGTGTGGGCATGGATGTGTGTATTTTCATTTACCTCCAACAGAAATTTAGCATTTGCTTCTATCAGGAATGTACGCAACAAATTCTGTGAGGGGAGAATGCGGATACACCAGTGTTGATCACAAGGCATAGGGAGAAGGAAAATCTGTGGAGAAGACTTTACTATGGTTTCTGTGGAAAGGAACAACTGAGACAGAGAAACAGGTTTAAGACTGGCTAATTTGAATAACTTCAGCTAGCCTAGGGACTACAGCGGTACAGGGGCTGGAGTACAGGGGCTGATTCCAACAGTTTGATACCTGGCCATGCAGTGATTAGGGCAGGTGTATAGTGCCTCAGAGTATGAGACCCGGATAAGGGAGGCGGTTGGGGGTATGGACTTAATCAGCTTCCACGAAGGGGAACATTTTGGTTCCAGCCTACTTCCTCAACTTCCTATTTCAGTACAGTTGGATTCTTGTGTAGTTCCTTGTATTTTGTTGTATGTGTGTTAAAAACATTATTCTGAAAATACTTTCATAGATTTCTCCAAACTCTGGAAGGGTCTGTGGCACAAGGAAGGGCAAAAGCCCTTGCTAAGGACAGAGACAGACATAAAAAGAAATAACCATATTTATATCTCTGTATATGTACATGCCGACCCTTCTGGGGTAAAAGGAAGTGGTTCTTGTAAGGGTGATGAGCAGGGGGTGGATAGAAAAGGGAAGAGTATGTGCCAGCAATATTTTATACAGGAAGAGATACTAAAGCCAAGTGTTAAATGAAAAATTGTATGTGGGCAAGGAAACTATGGTGGAAATTTCTTCATGTCCAATTCCCACACTCTGAAGGCAAACACTTACTGCTCTTTAACTATTCTGCTTTGTACCTTTGCATTTCAAAGAACATGCTAATATTGATGTGTACATCAACACACACACACACACACGCACACACACACACACACACACACACACTCCAGTTTGAAAGTATCAGTTAATTTCCATCACTGAAGGTGGTTAACAATGGGATTTTGATGCTTTCAACCTCACCCCTCTTTGTTCCTGACATAGGTGCACACAGAAACATATTTTGTTCTGTCTTCCATGCCAATAATAATATATACTTTTGGATAAATTGGGAGTTAGTGTTTGTTATTGTGACTATGAAAATGTTGTTTGTGGCTAAGTCATATAATGACTAGAGAGTTTCTTTTTTGTTATATTTTTTGCTAGAATTTAATGCTTGCCTTGCTGTTTACTTATTGTTTAATTGTAGATGAATGTCCCTACATTTCCTATCAGCATTAGAAATCTCCATGATGCACTCAAATATATCAACTACTCTGTAGGTTTCATTTTTCCCTTGAGATTTCTGTCCTAGGTAAGAACTATATCCTCGCCACTGCCCAAATCCACACTCTTTTGCACTGGACTTGTACTAGTTGTCTTCTGGGATGCCCTTTCATGTTTTTTATCACATGTTGGTTCTGTGGTTCCTGGATGCTACGTATTTTTGTATTTTGAGGGGGAGCACATTAGCTTTACGATCTTGAAAACACCAAAATATGTGCATTTTACCTCCCTGATTTCTTGGCGATTTGGGTGTATAATTCAAGATCTGGAAAACACAGCCTTCAGAATTGTAAAGGTGCTACTTCACTGTCTTCTAGTTTCCGTTTAGCTGCAAAGAAGTCAAGGGTCATTTTTTTTCCTCCTCAGTATTTTCAAAGCTTCTCTTTCTTCCAAGTGACCTGAAAAGATGTGCCTTGATCTGGGCCTCTTTGCTTTCATTCATTTGGTACTAGATGAGACCATTCAATCTGGAAAGCCATATTCTTCATGTTAGGGATACCTATCCTTTCTCTGATTTACTCCTATTTGTTTAGGTCTTTGCTACTCATATGGGGGATTCCCAGGCTGAAAATCTAATTTTATTGTATTTTCTCATATGTTTTTATGTTTTTCTAGTTTGCCTTATTTGTAGGAAATTTTAAAAATTCCCAACCACTGTATTAGGTTTTTGGGGCTATCACATTTTCAAATTCCAAGATGCTTTTGTATATATTTGTATGTACAGTTGTCCTCCCTTGTATATGTGGCATATATTTTGAGACACCCCCCCAAAAACTGGATAATACAAAATCTTACTGTATTTTTACTATTTTTTCCTTATGCTGTGCTTCATTTTATGGCATCCTTCTCAACGAGGGTTGATTTTGCTGCCCCCATCCAGGTAGTATTTGGCAATGTCTGGAGCCATTTTTGGCTATCATACTGGTGATACAGGCTGCTATAGCAACAAGCAGGAAGATGCCAGGGATACTGCTTAATACCCTACAACACACAAGAAGACTCTTGCAACAAAGAATTATCTGGCTGTAATGTCAAAGTAGAGAAACTCTACTTTGGGAAAACCAAAGGCCAAAACTTCTTCCCTTTGATACCTAGCAGCTAGAGCATGAACTCCTACTTCCTCAGCTTGGCTATGTGTGTGTGTGTGTGTGTGTGTGTGTGTGTGCGCACACACACGCACGTGTACTAAATATCAAGAGTAGGACTGATTCATTCTGATTTAACTTATTACCCCTTCTCTTCTGCATCAAACCAATGCAGTCCTTGTTACTGTTTAGATGTAGATGTCCCCCAAAAGTCTCATGTGTTCAGAGGTGGGGTTTTAGAAGGTGATTGGGATCATGGAGGTGCTATACTCAGTAGTTGAATCCACTGATAAATCCATAGCTGACTATTCTTTCAGGAAGTGGGGCCCGGGAAGAAGAGTCAGTTCACGGTGAGTGACTTGGAAGAGTTTACCCCTTCGCCATTCCCTTCCTGCATGGGAGCCAGCTGACTGCATCCTCTAAAATCTGTGAGCAAAGTAAAGCTTTCCTCCTTTAAGTCTTGAGTATCAGATATTTTTGTCCCAGTGATAAGGAAAGTGACTAAGACAGAGATTTTGAAGCTGAAATGGGGAAACATACTATGATACAGTAGTAAGAATTATGGGTTATCGTGATTAAGTTGGTGACCCAGTTCTTGCCACAAGTTTTTTTTATTTTAAAAATAAAAGGAGGAAAACATTAACAGACAGACAACCTTTTACAAAATAGCAAAAGAACAATACAAACAATACAGAGTTACAAAGAAAATGATAGGAAGTTAACAATGCTTGTTGTATTACATATTGATATCCTCAAAGTGGTATCTCATGAAAACAGATAGAGACATGCAATATTGATCAATCAAGGACTCATTGATAGTTTCTTTCAGCAAAGAAATAGAAGACAGTAGAGCAACTATGTTAGCTATCCTGTAAAGAAATGACTATTGATTTCAGAAATACACAGGTTTGGGGGCAAGATGAGTTTAGGGTTGGAAGTTAATAGAATAACAGTTATCTGAGCAGAGCTGGTTGCAGATAAGGAAATAGAAGTCATCAGATCTGGTTAGATGCTATAGCTGCAAGAATCGATGGTATCGTCCTTCAAGGTATTCGGTTTTCTTTGCTCTCATTCCATGTTTACCCAAGAACCTTCTGACATTAGTGCGATTTCCCTACTGGGAAGATAATGCTGGAGTAGCCAACCTAAATGTATTCCTTTCTCCTTAGTGGTTTTATTTCTTACTGTAAGCATGATAAATTAATAAATTAGAAAGAAGTAAAAGTGGAAAGAAAATCAAGAAGGTGAGGTATAAATGGCTATAAAGGAAAGAAGGGAAGGCTTTCTTAAGTGGTTTGGACTCACTGTAAAGTGGACTTGAAGATTTAAAGCCACAAAAGACAAGCTGACTACCCGTTCTCTACCACTACCACATGAAAGTTTTCTAAGGAATGTACTTTAAGGGATATTGAAATTCATATTCTAAGTTTTGAATCCTAGTAGGTACAGACGCTTGTGATGTTAGTCTCTTGTATGGCTTCCCTATGAGTAAACCCCAAGGATATACAGGCTTTGTATAAAAAAATACTGAAAAGGTATAATCGGGATGCAGCAAAAGTTTTTCTCTTTCTCTCTCTTGTACACATATACACACACTCATGCACATGCATTGACGTAAAAGACATGATATATAAAGTGATACATTGCAAATTATAAAGCATGAAACACTTAACACAAATGCTAAAATATCTTAGTTGTTCCGTTTGCTTCATAGGCTCTCTGCCAGTTTGTTCATATACCTGCCTAGTAACACTGCCCCTGACATTGCACCAGAAACAGTGGCAACCATGTTCTTAGAAAGCTTAGGGTGTAGGGTTATCTGAGGGATGTTCCTTCATACCCAGATCTCTATTTTACTGTGTCAGTCAATGTTATTTAGAGAAGCAGAATCATTAGAGTGTGTGTCTGTGTGTGTGTATGTGTGTGTGTGTTTTGTGTGTGTGTGTTTTAAAGGGATTTTAAGGAATTGTCTCACACAGCTAAGAGGGCCTTGCAAGTCTGAAATCTGTCATGCAAGCTGACAGACAAACACTTCCTGAGTTCCTGAGCTGGATGTGGTGCTGGCCTCTGAGGCCAGAGGATGCATGGGGCATGTTCTCGGCTGCCCCACCAATACTCTATTTAGCAAGACAGACACATCTCACATAATTATATTTACTGTGGCTAATTTATGAAGTTACTATGGAGCATAAGAAGGGCTACATAAGGGTTATTCCAGTGTAGCAAATATTTGGTTGCTATAGAATAGCCATTCTCCCCCTTTTTCACTCAGGTAAAATATCTGGGGATTTTCCATATTCGGACATCCAATGTTCTCAGCCTCCCCGAATACTGGGATTACAGGCATGCATCACCATGCCTAGCC